GCCACCAGGCACCCTATTGCTTACAGTAAGAGCTAGCGACCCGGATGAGGGAGCCAACGGAAAAGTGGCATATAAATTCCGGAAAATCAATGAAAAACAATCTCCCATATTCCAGCTTAATGAAAATACTGGGGAAATATTTGTAGCAAAAAGTCTAGATTATGAAGAATGTTCATTTTATGAAATGGAAATACAGGCTGAAGATGGTGGTGGATTGAAAGGACGAACCAAAGTGCTAATTATGGTGGAAGATGTAAATGACAATAGACCCGAAGTGACCATTACATCTCTATTTAGTCCAGTGAGGGAAGATGCTCTTCAGGGAACAGTTATCGTTCTTTTCAATGCACATGACCAAGATTCTGGGAAGAATGGTCAGGTTTTCTGTTCCATCCAGGAGAATCTGCCTTTTAAATTAGAAAATTCAATAGAAGATTATTACAGGTTGTTGACAGCCCAAATTCTTGATAGAGAAAAAGCCTCTGAGTATAACATCACAGTGACAGCCACAGACAGAGGAATGCCACCCCTATCTACGGAAATTCACATCACCCTGTATGTGACTGATATCAACGACAATCCACCTGCCTTTTCTCAAGCCTCCTATTCTATCTACCTCCCGGAAAACAACCTCAGAGGCACCTCCATCTTCTCAGTAACTGCCCAAGACCCTGATAACAATGAAAATGCTAGGGTTACATACTCCTTGGTGGAGGATACCATCCAGGGAGCTCCTCTCTCTTCCTATGTATCCATTAACTCTGAAACTGGTGTGTTGTATGCACTGAGATCATTTGACTATGAGCAGTTTCGAAATCTTCAAATACAGGTAAGGGCAAGTGACAACGGGAACCCACCACTCAGCAGTAACGCATCACTGAGCCTTTTTGTGCTGGACCAGAATGATAACACCCCTGAGATCCTGTACCCCACCCTCCCCACTGATGGTTCCACTGGGGTAGAGCTGGCACCCCGCTCTGCAGAGCCTGGATACCTTGTGACCAAGGTGGTAGCAGTGGACAGAGACTCAGGACAGAATGCTTGGCTGTCTTACCACCTGCTCAAAGCTAGTGAGGCAGGGCTCTTCTCTGTGGGGCTGCACACAGGTGAGGTGCGTACAGCAAGGGCTCTTCTGGATAGAGATGCTATAAAGCAGAGCCTTGTGGTGGCTGTGCAGGACCATGGCCAGCCACCTCTCTCAGCCACTGTCACATTCACTGTGGCTGTGGCTGAGAGTATCCCCAATATCCTGGCTGACCTGGGCAGCATGGAGATCCCTGCAGATTCCAGAGATTCTGACCTCACGCTCTACCTGGTCGTGGCAGTGGCTGCTGTCTCCTGCCTCTTCCTCACCTTTGTCCTTATTCTGCTGGGGCTCAAGTTTCGGCGATGGCATTCCTTGCATCTGCTACAGGCTGAAAATGGTGGGTTGACTGGTCTGCCCACCTCACACTTTGTGGGCGTGGAGGGGGTGCAGGCTTTCCTGCAGACCTGTTCCCAGGAGTTTTCTCTTACAGCTGACTCTAGAAAGAGCCACATTATCTTTCCCCAACCCAACTATGCAGACATGCTCATCAGCCAGGAGAGCTGTGAGAAAAAGGAGACTTTGGGCCATTCACTTGATTCCAAGTTTCCTATAGAAGACACTCCTTTGGTTCCCGTGAGTTGGATTTTTTTTCTTTACTGTCTGTAACTACTTTCTCATTATCTGTTCTTATTTGAGGTAGCACAGATTGATATTAATGTTTCTCACCCTTTATATTTTCACTGAGCATGATTTTACCCAAACATATAAAGGAGGCATTAATTGGTTGCATCATTGATGTAATTTTCACTTTTTCAAAATAATTAACCTAGTATCAAAGAAACCGTTCTTCATGGGGCAGCTGTCATTGTCCTGCACAGGTGTTGGCTATTGAGGTGATGTTGCTTGATTGTTTATAATAGTTCACTACTAATTCTCTAGCTGGATTTCTCTTCCTGAAATTTATTAAGTATTTTTATCTCCAGTGTCCCCATTGTGAAAACCTTATCCCTAAAACCATTTCTACTGTGATACTATGTTGTAAGGGTAAATTAATAAGAAAGCAAATGCCTTTTTCTTAGAGGAAACAGCTGAAATCCCAGGTTCACTGCTTCCACTCTTCTTTTTCTATGATGGGAAACCACCCCCATTGAGCTGTTGTTTTTTAGATCATAAGTGTGTAGAGAATGTATTTAAAGATATTTTCTGAGGAAGGTCCAAACTTCTTTTATTTATTTCCAAACCAAAACAAAGCATTTTTTTATTCCTTTAATGGTGAAAATCGTGTCATCCTCTATTCTATATACTCAAATAATTTTTAATGCTATAGTGTCAAATTATGAAGAGTAGTTTGACACTCTTCTTTTCTATAGTATATTCTTGCTCAAGAGAAGTTTCTAAAACTGAACAGAGTGAAATGATCAAGTAAAAGGAATTAAAATGTATTCTTCCGCTCTATCTAACTTCTGTCTTAATTCTCCAAACTTTAAGACTAGAAGTGAACCTGAATAGGGGATATAAGTTAGAAAAATATTTCAGAAAATGCTAGGGAGATTCTAGAAATATTTTACTGGGTTTTAGCTATAAGGAAAATAACATTATTTAGTATAATTTTAAACATAATGTCAACTTTCAAGTAGTAAATCACATTCAGGAGACTATTTGAAAATGAGCTTTGAAATGGACTCAAGATTCTATTCTAAATATGATCCGTAAATACATAGATAACTGCTACTATTTCTATGGAATTAGAGAACCATTTTTGTCTCTGTAATGAATTTTTCAAATTTCTATTGTTTCCTAAGAAGAAAGTAACTAATATGCTAGAAATCCATAACAACATACAGACATTTTAATTATTTCACTTTTTTTCTTCACCTACTAAAGAAAAGTAAAACATCATTCAGGTCATATTTTTAACCATGGAATAGGAAAATCATCCCCTTAACTTTCTATCTGATAGGCCACAAAGCAACTCTTAGCTAATAAAAAAAGATATTGACATAATTCCTTGCATCTTATCACATCATAATGGAATGAAATTAGAAATCAACACAACAAAACCCTACAGAAACTATATAAACCCATGGAAATTGAATAATACACTTTTGAATGATGAATGAATGATAGAAGAAATCAAGTGAGAAATTAAATTTCTATCTGGGGGTAGCCTTGATACCAAGTGCTCATCAATATTTTAAAATGTGTGTTGACAGGTGTGGTGGTACAGGCCTGTAATCCTAAGATTTAGGAGTCTGAGGCAGAAAGATCACAAATTCAAGACCAGCCTCAGCAACTTAGTGAGATGTATCTCAAAATAAAAAACAAAAGGGGCTGGGATGTAGCTCTGTGGTAGAGCACCCCTGGATTCAATCCTTGTTATAAAAAATAAAGAAATAAAATGCATATTTACTTGGAAAAATACAATAACAGATATTAATATATATCATGGTAGGTAACTACTCATCTGTGCTACAAATATGTCACCTGCCTTGTAAAACAGAAGATAAGGCTCACCAGATAGAAAATGCTGAATTCTAGTTTTCTTAAACTAGACTAGTTACTTAAACTAGACTAGTTTTGTTGAAGTAGACTAGTTTTCTTGCACTAGATTAATTTCCTTATGATTTATTTCCATCTATAATTTAGTAACAGCTTGTAGAACATAATAGGCGGAAAGATAACAATTCGCAAATATAATGCCTCATCTAGAAGAAATGACGTCTAGAAGAAATGCTAATTGAAATGACGTTTGGGATTTACTTTAGAGTAATTGGGGAGTGAAGTATATATTTACAAAAGATTGGCCTCAATGTTAATCTTTGTTGAAACTGGATGATAGGTATATATGAAAGTCCACAATATAATACATAATACTACCTGTTGTATAAGTTTGAAAGTATTCGGAATAAATTGATTTAAAACACTAAATATGTAAGTATACAATGTAATACCGAGGTGAGACTAAACTTTGCGGCTAATATATAGCTGAATTTTCAAAAAGAAACATTTTGGAAATAAAGAATTCAAAAGAAGACAGTCTGAAGTTCCAAATGCAGCCTCTGGGCGCCGCTGTCGGCCAGTGCAGAGCAAGCTCCAACGCCCGGGATCCCTCAGTCTCTTGCCTGGGATTTCCTGCGCAGCCACCAACACACAGAAGCAACCCCTCTCACTCCTGGAGAATACACGCACAGATTCCCATCCCCGAAACTGGGCTCCGCCTGTCCTGGACCGAATCCTCTTCCAGCGTGGTCGATAACTTTCTCTCCCAACTGCGAAGTGGGGGATCCAGTGAAAAAACACCCGAGCAAGCGAGTGAGTGATGGGAGGGAGCTGCGCGCAGAGGCGACGCGCCGGCCGCGGGCAGGTACTGTTTCCCTGGCTGTTGCCTTTGTTCTGTTCGGCGTTCGGAGAGCCAATCCGCTATTCCATTCCCGAGGAGCTGGCCAAGGGCTCGGTGGTGGGGAACCTCGCCAAGGATCTGGGGCTCAGTGTCCTGGATGTGTCAGCTCGGAAGCTGCGAGTTAGCGCAGAGAAGCTGCACTTCAATGTAGACGCGCAGAGTGGGGACTTGCTTGTGAAGGACCCAATAGACCGGGAGCAGATATGCAAAGAGAGGAGAAGATGTGAGCTGCAGTTGGAAGCTGTGGTGGAAAATCCTTTAAATATTTTCCATGTCGTTGTGATGATTGAGGATATTAATGACCATGCTCCTCAATTCGATAAAAAGAAAATAGACTTAGAAATTTCTGAGTCTGTATCCACTGGTGCACGGATATCCCTTGACCCTGCCACTGACCCCGATATAAACTTTAACTCAATTAAAGATTATCAGATAAACCCTAATCCTTATTTCTCATTAATAGTTAGAGTTAATTCTGATGGTGGCAAATATCCAGAATTATCCCTGGAGAAACTCCTAGACAGGGAAGAGCAGAGGTCACATCGCTTGATATTGACTGCCTTGGATGGAGGAGACCCGCCACGAAGTGCCACCGCTCAAATAGAAATCTTTGTAAAGGACACTAATGATAATCCCCCAGTATTCAGCAAAGATGAATATAGAATCAGTCTTAGTGAAAATCTGCCCCCAGGGTCTCCCGTGTTGCAAGTGACAGCCACTGATGCGGATGAAGGGGTAAATGCAGAAATAAACTACCACTTCCGGAGCACCGCCCAGAGCACAAGACACATGTTCTCATTGGATGAGAAAACAGGTATGATTAAGAATAACCAATCACTGGATTTTGAAGATGTAGAAAGATACACCATGGAAGTGGAAGCAAAGGACATTGGTGGCCTTTCTACCCAGTGTAAAGTAATCATAGAAATCCTAGATGAAAACGACAACAGTCCAGAAATTATCATCACTTCTCTGTCTGATCAGATTTTGGAGGATTCTCCTCCAGGAATGGTTATTGCCCTTTTCAAAACACGGGACCGGGATATTGGAAGAAATGGAGAAGTCACATGTGATATAGAAAGAGACCTTCCTTTCAAGATCGATTCTTCTTCTAATAACTATTACAAGCTGGTGACTGATGGAGTCCTAGATCGAGAGCAGGACCCAGAATACAATATCACCATCATCGCCACCGATGGGGGCAAGCCGCCCCTTTCTTCAAGTGTAAATATCACCCTGCACATCATTGACGTCAACGACAACGTTCCGGTTTTCCAGCAGGCGTCTTACGTGGTTCACGTGGCTGAGAACAACCCGCCAGGAGCCTCAATAGCTCAAGTCAGCGCCTCAGATCCCGACTTAGGTCCCAACGGCCAAGTCTCCTACTCCATCGCAGCCAGCGACCTGGAGCCTCGGGCATTGTTATCCTACGTGTCTGTGAGCGAACAGAGCGGCGTGGTGTTCGCGCAGCGAGCCTTCGACCACGAGCAGCTGCGTTCCTTTGAGCTGATTCT